TTATAATATATATATTATATTAACAGGTTAACTCCTGTCTCAAAGAGTTGAAAGATTCACACTTGTAAAGGAATAAAACAACACATGAGAGTAGAGCCTTATATTTTATCATATTACAATGCTTGAACCAAATAAAACCCAATCACTTTTAGTTCAATGATTTTGAGTGATACATCCTAATCCCAGAAGTGGAAGGGGGAGAATATCACAGTGAACATTTTTAACAGAAATAGAGCTGCAATCTTGTAAATATCTTCAGTATTCCAAAAAAGACAAGAAAAGTATTTTTTAAACACCTACTATAAACTTAGTGTTTGTTAAGCTTTTCTTAAATAAAAATATGCTATTTCAAATGAAGAGCTATCAACTCAAACATTTTAAAAGACTACAATAAATATCCTATGACTAACTGAATATTGGAATCTAGATTTCCAAAACATTGCACATTACAGGAATGTAGTAAAGGAAGAAATGTTTCACTCTAGTCTAATTTTACCTGTTCCAAATAATGTAATGACAGGTTGATATACTTGGCTTCTGTCAATAGCTGACCTCCAACTCCAGTCTTTGCAACACGCTCTGATCCAGCAAGGTCTACCAAGTGTAATTTGGAGTGTCGGATAGTTGCAGATCCAGGTTCCTTGCTGGAGATGTGAATAGTGAAAATGCAGTGAGATCTGGTTGAGGCTTGATTCACTGGTGTCTACAATAAAAAGAAAGGAAGAATTTACAATATTAATTTAATAAATAAATGCTGGCCTTACTACGCTGAGAAATATTGAGAAATACTAGACAAGGGCACCTCAGTCAGAGGGAAAGTCTAATTCCTGATCTCCAAGAGGTTATAAGTTCCCCATTCATAAGCCCATTTTTTTTTTTTTTGTCTATATACCTACCAGAGTAACTAAGGCTAGGACTTTCTACAAGGCTTTAGAATTCCATGTTTTCATTACTTTTAAGGAAAAAAAATAACTTGGCAAAATCAGTACCAAAATTTTATGTAGCATGACAGAGTTTTCATAAAAGTTGGCTTTAAATATATTTATTTAGAACAGATACTGCCATACTTCCTTAACTAGACACAGAAAGTGCTGGTCAATTTTTAGAGATGCTCAGCTTTAGTATGACTTTAATGGTGTTTCCAATGTATTTGAAATACAGAACAGAAAATTTAAACAGTTCTCAGATATTTAATTTTAAATTCCAAATGACCACATGCTATCAGATATACACCTCTCTCTTCTTAAACAAAACACAATAAAATCTTCAAGCATCTAAGGCCTCTTTTGTTTAGTTTTATCAAGCTGTTGTTGGAAACTTAAAACTAAAGGAATTCCTTATAATCTTCATTTTATGAATAGCTAAACCTTTAGAACATATATATAGGTTATAGGTTTACCATACAAGTAGTATTTTTATTCATGAACCATAACAAGTATGACTACATCATTACCAGGGCATAAATACTTGACTTGCAGAAAAATACGGAGCTGAAACAAATAAAAATTATTGAGTTAGCAACTAAATATGTATTTATTTATGGCTATTTTAAAAGGTGATTAAAAATCCTCATGAATTTATGTACATTAATCCTTTGTCTATAATTTATTCCTCTGTTATTCTAAAGTAATTATTTAACCAGGCATACCCCGTGATTCCAACACACTGCTTTTTTTACCATGGTCTGCTTTGGTATGAAACATTCTAGATGTAAAATAGCCTGTTGAAGGTATTGTCTTGCTATTCCAAGAAGAATAGCTCTTAACAGAAAGACCTGCAAGCTGAATATTCCTTTACCAGGAATAATACAAACAGATATACCTCTTGGTTGAATTGCCTCCCCTTCAAATTCCCAATATTTTTTTTCCAGACTTAATAGTGAGTTCACAACTGAGCTATTTTCAGGACTGATCCAGTCTGCAAACCATAGATATTTAACCTGGATCAGTTTTCTGATCAGTCACAGCACAGTTGTTGAAAGCAGTTGTGCTAGAATAATTGAAAATGGCAGCACACAGTATGTGAACAAGTGGGTGGTGTGCAGGAGTAGTGTATATTTGTAGTTATTGGGGAATGAATTAATAAAATTACAGTCTTAGCACCATTTTATTTTGGCCTGCTTTACCTAATAAAGCCAAGCTCCAAAGGAACGGGAGAAGAGTTTTGAACATTAGTTTATACAGATGGGGAATTTGGAATAATATAGGTAAGCCACCAGCTCTAACAGCCTGTTTTCTAAGGATCCTTTCACAATCCTTTGAAACAAGCACCAGAGTGGAGTCACATGCTCTGCTGTATTCACAGGCAAAGCTGATCAAATGAAGGGGCAGTGAGTTGTAGCAGGAGAATGAAAATAAACAGGCTCACGGAAAGGTGTCAAGCAAGAAAATACTCCCAAACATATTTGAAATGCAGTTACACTAAGAAAAAGTTATATGGTGTTAAAATGTACTTTATTCAGCAATTCTGATTCCATGAATAATCAGAGCCAGCTTCACTTATTTTACTATGAGAGCTATAATTTTAATACTTGCAGCTCTGCGAAGCAGGACTGGATATTTTCTTTTTTTCCAGCTCAAAATCCACAACAGCATTAATATTTAAGGACATTCTCCTCTACAGAACTGATATTTTAGGGCACTCTGCACTACAGTCATGGCATTGGTCACACTACTGCAAACAAGTTTAAGCCAGATCAAATACCAATACAGGTGTAGCTATGGAAGCATTAAGTAGAGGTTGCTATGAAAGAAGCAGAAGAAATCATCATAGAATTGTTTCAGTTGGAAAAGACCTTTAAGATCACCAAGTCCAACCATTAACCTAACTCTATCAAGTCCACTGCTAAACCATGTCCCTGAGCACCTCATCTATGCATCTTTTAAATACCTCCAGGGATGGTGACTCTACCACCTCCCTGGACAGCCTGCTCCAGTGCTTAACAAAACTTTCAGTGAGGAAGTTTTTCCTAATATCCAACCTAAACTTACCTCGGTGCAACTTGAGGCCATTTCCTCTTGTCCTACACCTTGTTACTTGTGAGAAGACACTGAATCCCACCTCTCTACAACCTCCTTTCAAGTAGTTGTAGAGAGTGATATGGTCTCCTCTGAGCCTCCTATTCTCCAGGCTAAACACCCCCTGTTCTTAAGCAAACTTAAATTTCTCTACGCAGCAAAACCTCACATATTTCAAAATGTTTTTTTAAGTCACACCTGTTTAACCCCAACAGAAGCATCAAAAATTTAAAGCCCATAAGTAAAAAAATTTCAGGACTCTGTTCCAAAAGTTATGGGCAATATTTGGCCTATTAGTTCTTTATTGTTTATAGCATTACACTAACGACGGCTTGTTTACATGTTCCAAGCAGATTCTGCTGGACTGGTCATTGGAAATTCCATTGCTTCTCTCTCCACAACTTTTTTTTCATGTAAAGTGAGTGATGCCTATTTGGAAATCATTGGACAGAATCCCAAACTGCTGTTTTTATAAAGTCCTTCTTCAGAGTAGAACCGTGCTTTAATCAATGCATCAATACTCCTTTTTAGAAAATATTCTATCTCCACTTCATAGTTCACATATATACAAAACTCTGTTAGAACTCTTGCAGGAAATGTATAGTAATAAAAATTTAAACTATTAAAAGGGATGTGATTGTGATATGCTAATTGCAGTCATTATCCCCCACGCTTTGCTACTTTTACCACACAAGTAGATGGAAAGCACATAGTAACAGAAATTACAACTTGTCAGCATCTTCAGACCAAAAATAAGCCCCTTTTAGGTGTTTGTTTTGGTTTTTGCTATCTTACATACGCAACTTCTGAGTATTACCATTCAGCTGTTCAGAAAGCTTGAAAACAAACAAAATTTTCTGGACAGTGTCTCAAAGCCTACTAAAAGGTTCCTTTAGTGGCTTTCAGAGCTCATACGGGCTGTTTTAGCAGTATTCAAACCATATGTATATGAAATCATCCTCACACTAATTTGATGTGATGAAGGAAAAAAAAAAAGAAAGAGAGGAGTGGCCTGGCTCTCAGCAGATGGTTGCTATTGTGAAAGTTATATATAGAACGACTGATGAGCTGCAGTTACTTACAAAGAAATAATTTTTTCCAGGAATTCTGTGACATCATAAACCACATAAGCAGACTTCAGATGCTTTGTAATATCACATGAACACTACAAAGGAATTAATGCCAGGTCATCTGTTGCTGCCCATCTGTGGCATGGTCAAAGAGGAATTCAGTAAGATTTCTTTGAAGATCATGATTTGGTAAAGCATCAGTGTTTTGTTTGATCTTGGAAAATATGTACAAGAGACCTTTCAAGCCAAACAACTCAGTCTCCTTTTTCTCTAGAACCATTATGTATCTGTGTTTTCTGTAATTAAATAAGCTGTATAGAAACTTTGTGACTTAAACCCATTATATCTATTCATACAACATTTCCAAGAAGGTGGTTTCTACTTAAACAAGAACCTGCAGCACAGCAATATTGCATGAAACATCTGAGGAAGGAATATAAGGGCATGAAAGGTCCAGAAACTTGCTGGAGCCTAAGTTACCATCTTAATTTGTTATCTATCTTAAATCAATTTAAACACTACACGAGTTCCTCCCAATACAAGAATTAATGTATTTCCCAAATCTTTTATTTGTTGCATCTGCTATTATAAATGTTGTTTTCACTAAGAAGAATAGCCAAAAATAGGATGCTACTGGTCTAAATAGTTTTTAATAACTGAGGACCTAAGAAGAGTCCTGTTGGAGTCCTGGTGGACAACAAGTTGTCCATGGGACAGCAGTGTGCCCTTGTGGCCAGGAGGGCCAATGCTATCCTGGGGTGCATTAAGAAAAGTGTGTCCAGCAGAACAAGGGAGGTCCTGCTCCCCTTCTACTCTGTCCTGGTGAGACCTCACCTGGAGTATTGTGTCCAGTTCTGGGCTCCCCATTTCAAGAGGGACAGAGATCTACTCCAGAGAGTCAAGCAAAGGGCTACGAGGGTGACTGGGGGAGTGGAACACCTGCCCTATGAGGAGAGGCTGAGAGACCTGGGGCTTGTTAGTCTGGAGAAGAGAAGACTTAGGGGGGATCTAATTAATGTGTATAAATACATGAGGGATGGGTGTCAGGAAGGAAGGGACAATCTCTTCTCACTTATGCCCTGTGATAGGACACGGGGCAATGGTCACAAGCTGGAGCATGGGAAGTTCCACCTCAACATGAGGAAGAACTTCTTTCCTGTAAGGGTTCCAGAGCACTGGAACAGGCTCCCCAGGGAGGTTGTGGAGTCTCCTTCCTTGGAGACTTTTAAGACCCATCTGGATGCGTTCCTGTGTGACCTGCCCTAGACTAGATGGTCCTGCTCTGGCAGGGAGGTTGGACTCGATCTCTGGAGGTCCCTTCTAACCCCTAACATTCTGTGATTCTGTGAAGAAGAAAGTTTCTTTAAACAGGAGAAAAGCATATGAAAAACTGTTTTGAAAATCACTATTAGACTAACAGAAGCTGCTACTATGTGGATGAATAATGTATTGATGATGGCTGCCAAATACACTCAGAGAAAATACAAAAAAGAGTTCAGGACAGCTGGGAGAAAAAGATTTCACAGGTGACACATGCAGTCCATACTGCAAACCAACTGCACTTGGCAGCTTATACAGTTCTAGTGGAATCTTTTCTTCTTTGAACAAAATATTTAGATATCAGAAGAACATGATTTTCCTGTATAATTTAATTAGTGACTAGTCAAGGCGTAAATTAATAAAGGCTGATTCTGAATGCTCCTATTTCTTTTGAGAGAATGTCTCAGTTAAAAGCTACAAAATTTTGTTTTAAGGAGGATTTCTTTGGTCTCTTAGTTGGTGGGGGTGGTGTTTTTTTTTGTTTTGTTTTGGTTTGGTTTGGTTTGTTTGTTTGTTTTAATCTTTCAATTAAACTCCTTGAAGAAGAAGGGCAAGGGAAACGAGAAAAGCACCGATAGCATCCAAGGCTGATATCAGATGGATTTTGTCCAGTCTCAAGCTGTAATCACATGAATAACTGTAGGAAGAAGTTCCAACAGCTTCAGTTATGTCACAGTTCAGATGGTAAGAAGAGAGCCATTGTGTCCAACAAGAATGTTTATCAAGCACTATAGCACAGTTTGCTACTCCAGTTGAAACTCATCCTTGGAATATTCTGGAGTTTTCACATTGTTGGTTTATACCACAGAACATCGTATGACTCTGCAAGGCTGAAGGAGCAGAAATACTTTGTTGAAAAACAGTGGAAATATTTCTCTAAGTAACATAAACTCTAATATAAGCTCCACCAGTTCCAAAAGAACCATGCTATATGGAAGGGTATGTAAGTTCCTGTCTTTATAGCTAGTAGAGGAGTGAGACAATTTAGTTTCCTTTCTAATTAATAAGGTACAAGTGAAGGGGCTCTTCAGGTGTACTTAAGTATGTCTGACAGTTGAAATTGCAAGTTTATTGCTATGAAAATATAAGGATCAGAGTAGTTACACTCTAACGCTTCCCTGATTTCTAACAGCAATACTTTGCCTTTCCATATTTACTACAAGTAGTTTCACAGTTAGACAATCATAACTGAAGTAAATTTTAAGGTAAAGAATATTCTCCAGTGAGGATATTATTAAACTTTATATCCAAATCACTTTAAGGACTATTCAAAGCAGTACGTATGACCAGTGATTTTTTTTACCACATATGGAAATGAAAGCACTTGTGCTGAAATGATGATGCCATTTAGTGCTAATGACACCATAGAAGAGGTTTCTCAGAGTGCAAATAATTGACACCAGTGAGGAACCCAGGAAAGCAGAAAGCTGTAACTCATTCTGGAATGCAGCTCTAGCATTGACAACATGCCTTCTTGGCAAAGCAACATTTAATATCCTATGTTCACACATTCAAATCCTATTTTTCATATTTCATCCAATAAAAAACACACTCGAACAGTACCAGTAGCTTTCTAAATATATTCAAGAGAATGCTAATAGGCAATAAAAATAAATACAAAAGGGAATGAGTCCAATTCAATGGTCACAAGTCAGTCCCCACAACTATCTTTTAATGTTTAAAAATTTCATTCTTACTTGAAATAAACATACTAAAGTATTGCCAAAGGCTAACTGCTTGCCCCATGTGTACTCCAAACATTCAAATGATGGAACAAACACTGTGTAGTATGCATTGTCTTCCAAATTTAAGCCATGGAGTATTATATGTATAGAACCATGCACTAAAATATTTCCCTTCCTCATTAAAATTAAGTAATCTTTCATTAGAGGAAAACCAAATGTTAACTGTACATACAACTTCAGTGTTCAGCCATATAAGTCTCAAAAAGATTTTACCATTGTGAAATTGATGCTTGCCCTTGGGAAGGTACTGGGTTTACCTTACTTTGCTATTTTAAGAGAAATATTAAAAATTATTTTGGGTTTGTTCTCTGCCAATTTCTCCTTTCTAAATATAAGAGACAAAAACTTCCTATTTGGAATTTTATGTTAAGCAGTGTCTGTGCACAGATATCTCCCATCTTACCATTTCCACAACTTGTAGTACTTGTCAAAACTAGAGCAAGGGATTGATCCTAAATGGACGTATACACCAATCCTACACAAATTTTATTAGCTTCCTCTTTTTTCCTTCTCATGAGCTACATAGTTACGTGTGGGAAAGAAGTATTCAGTTATAAATGTTCCCTTAGGTTCTGACATTTTATGAATGAAGCCTATAGAATAGTTTTAATATTATGATCACTTTCATTTTAACACAGTGAGTTCTGAGTGCAAAATGCAGCCCTCAAACGACAAACTAGATTCCACTAGCAGAGGCACTGCAGAAATTAAATTGTAATTTTTATTTTCAAAATGGTCCTGCAGCTCTTCAAAGGACGGTTATCTCAGGGGTAGAGCATTAGATTGCAATTTTAGAGGCCACAGATTTCATATATGATCCATGCAGACATATTAGTTTTTCCACAACCGAACTCCTCATCATTAAAAAAGATGAATCAAGCATTTATTTTACGTTTTCTATTTAGGTTTATTAATCTTGTGTCTTTCTCTTTAAAGTTTACTTAAATAGGGCCCTAATCTTTTTCGAGGTTTTGAGTGTTACCATAACTCAATTGAGGTTTAAAAATATGTATCTCTGGAGAAAAAGTTATAAAGGTTGACGTCATAAATCCTCTACCCTAGACCACTGCATTAATCCCAGATTTCTGCAAACACTATTTTCTTATTCTGATAAGTAATCATATAAAGTACCACAGTCACCCCAAGCCAAAAATGTTAAACAATAATGGGTCTTCAATTCTGAATGTCTAAGAGGAAGCAAAACGCAGTAAGTTCACTGAACTGTACTGAAATGTACCTGCTGCAATTGCAAAGGAAAAATATATGAGAAAACTGCCTAAATAAAACTTCCTCAATGAAATCTGCCTCAGTCGAAGCTTTTGGAATCCATGTTCCTCAATCTTCATATTTACTAACAGCCCAGAAGTACACTTTGATTCTCTCTTGCCTTAATGTCTCCCTGATTCTCAGAAACATCACTGTTGAAATAGTCTTCCTTGACAAAGAGAAAACAAATTTATATTTTGTGAACAAAAACTTATTCCCCTCTATGCAGATGGTCATCCAGCAGGAACAGAGAGCTATTTGACTATTTCATACACTTTAAATGTCTTTCTCATCAATGATTTATTATACATATTTTGGGACAGACAGAGGAAGAAAAGCCACAAAGTTCTAAAATAGAATTAGCTGTGTTATAGTGAAGACACATGGACACTGCTCATATTACGCAACACACTTTTTATATTTACATTCCATTCCCAAGTATGAAGAAAAAACCCAACAACCCCACAGATTTTGGATATGGAAATACATCATTGGCATTTTCCAGAATCTGTAAAAAAACTCTTGTCTTTGCATATTGGCAAATATTTATTTTGAATGTGCTTCACAGTACCATTTGGTTTTTTTTTGCACATAACACCACATTTATGCAATAAGAATGAAAAAAGAGAGGACTGCTAACTCCTACTGTAACTGTTTCAAGGCAATTTATTACTTCTGTCAAAATGTTTTACATAATTTGTAAGGCCATGGTTTCTAATCTTTAAATGTGAATGTATATTGATACAAGCGACTTTCAAAAGTCAGTCTATGTTTTATAAAAATTCTGGGTTTTTTATTTATTTTAACTGCAGTAAGTTATGACATCAGCAACCACCAATCACATTCACCAAGAACAAAAAAACTCTTTGCAAATTGAATGCTATTATCAGCAAAATGCTTATTTTCTTGCACTGTGGAAATACGCTCAGAAAGAAGATACTTATCTGTCTCTAAGCATTTCCAAAATATACACCTTACATGAAGAAGTAAGAAAGTAAGAAGTTTATGATAATTTTCACTCTAGTGGTGCTAAGTAATATATGTAGCAGCAACTCTCACCTCAGCAATCATTCTGTTGGTGTCTCCCAAAAAGAGTAGATTTAAGGCTTGCTCTTCACTGGTTGCTTGCTGAAGAGACAAGTTTTTCAGATGAATGTTCTGATCTGGGTCTTCCATTATTGTCACCTTTCTACATGGAAATAAAAAACAACCCACAACACAATTAAAAAAAAACCAAAACCAACTAGAATTGTTGTGAGGTGATCTTTGTTCCATATTTTCATTCTGATTGTGCCTAAAAGGTGACATCTAACACCCCAAATTCATCATAAGAAGAACCTAAAAACATGAAGATTAAGTGATGCACACTAAAGGAAATGTTGACTTCCTTTAGGTTTTTTAAGATAGATTTTTAGCCCTATGTCACCTCCTTTTTATTCCTTTCCAATAACCCTCAACATAGAAAAGGAATATATAAAATCATTAACTGTTAGAAAAAGCATTACAAACAATATTAGAAACATAATTACAAACAAACAAAATATGACAAACAAATAATAAGTAGGGGTTTGTTTGCCATTTCCACACCTATTTCAGCCCAAACGATACATAAAGCATACCATAACCTTGATGAACAAATAGGCATAGTGTGTTTCAGAATCAACACATCTGTAGCCAATGTTTCTAATAACCGTCCATATTTTAAGATAATTTTTCTTTTATTTCTTCTCAAATGGTAACAACTGCAAATGTAAATGATCCCTTTCTTAAATTAAAAGCAAGTAAACTGAGTGACCGCATTTCTTTCCACTGAGGTTAGAAAAGCTCTTAGTTGTACTTCTTTAAGCCTTAAAGTTCAGAAAAAGGAAGTTAGATGCAAGTAGCAAGGAGCTCCTTGTCAGTCCAGGAGGGCTACTAAATATTACCAAAATTCCTTTTTAATTCTCTAAATGGCCCCTTAATGGATTTTTTTCTTTTGATAAGGTTACTGAGAGTTAAACCATTTGCTTTACTGAGTAGCCATTAGGGTTCTTGTGAGTTAGGACATTCTACTGCATCCAGCATGGAAGCTAAGTAGTTGCAGCACTGCATTTGAAAAACTCTGAGAGAAGACTATATTAAAACTGAAGTACAGCAATTCTGACGATGATTGACATGTCCTTCAGGATGAATTACATGTTCTGAGGCAACTCAGAACTGTTTAAAAAGTTAGAAGGTCTTTAAAATATATTTTTCTCTGTAAGTATAGATAATACTTGATATTTATATGTATACATATGTGTGCGTGTATATACATTATTTTTTTTCATATTCTTAATGTTTAACCACAAGAGGGAGTATGGGGCTTGAATTTTTATCTCTCAATAGTTCTTGTATTTTAATTTCTCCAAGCTGCTTCAAAATCACACAAGTTGGGTTTTGTTCTGCTTTGCTTGACTTTTTTTCCCCAAACCTGACAGAATCAAATTGAGCAGCTAAGCAGCATTCCACAGTATTACTCTTAATAGTTCACCCACTGATGGTCAAAACACTGGACTAGATATGCAGAAATAATTTTAACACATTGCAATTCACTCACTATTTTCAAGAAAAAAATACATGTAGAAGTACACACAGTGTTTCTTTACTAGTCATAACAATTGTTCTTCCAAATACAACTGTGTCCCACTTACAGCCTTATTTTTCTGCAGGAGGGTAAGACAGCAGAAGTAGTCAAGGAACTCTGCTTCCTCCACTCAGAACATAAACCCCAAACCATAATTCTGTTTGTACATAACAATGTTTTGATAATGTCAAGTTGTATTCTATCTGTAATTCCATCTGTGCGTGCATCACACGCTAAAGCCCAGAGTGGTTCTGATTACAGTATGATATTTTGACTAATTTTAATATTTTGACATTGCATGGTAAGCACCATCTAGCTTTTTCTATAATTGAGGAAAACAATGTTGGTTTACTATGCACACATGACATAGTACTTAAATGTTTAAGGCTCTTCTCAGACTACATTTTGACCAATGGTTATAAATAATTCCCAGACAATGAAATATTAGTTTGAACATAAAGCTGTGGAGGATTATTGTACCAGAAGGGAGTCAATACAGTGGCCTTGCAGCTACTAGGAGGATTTCCAGATGTAATTCTAAATTTGCACATCTTGAGAGGCATCTCTTGAAACCTTCTCAGAAAGACATCTTCAAAAATGACAACAAAATCATTTATTTGATAATGCTATAAAGTTACTGTATAATATGGTAATAGATTTCTAGGGAACATTCTGTACGTTAGTGAAATCATTACACTTCATAGCCCTAACTTTATGGATAACTTAAAGTAGCTTTTCTACTACAAGATCAAAGGTAGGGCTATGAAATTTAAGGAAGTTTCTATCTCAATCTTATATCTGTCTCTAGGGCTAGAACTAAAGAAATCTAAAGTAATATAAAAAACTTTATCATTAATTTAAAAATATTTATAATGATGTAAACAAAAAATATATGGGGATACATATCTTCTACAACAACACATCAGCAGAATATAGTGATCCTTCTTTAGCATGATGAGGAGACTATGCAGCCAATAATAAACTTAGGAAAAGGATAAAAGAGAAAAGCAGCAAGCATGTATCTTGGAATCTGTCCAGAAGAACATAATAAACTCATGGATAACTATAGCTAACCTTTGTGTAAAGTTGCAAGGAGCCTTAGCTTTTAAGAAAGAATAACCAAGATATTAATTTTATATATTATCAAAAAAAAAAAAAAAATCTTACAGAAGCATAGCTTCTGAACAGCACATCAGAAGACAAAGTCAACACTGAGTCAAGAGTTTACAAAGTTATTCATTCACCGGCACAGCTTTCTATAGCACTGAGATTTGATTCTCCATTCCAGTACAGACCTAGAGCATCATCTCATCTTGTGAGACGTGACAGAACTATGAGATGAGTAAGTATTGTTGTGGGCTTTTGGCTAAGATGACATATTGTGACAGGAAAACCTTCCTCCACCGTCTCCAACAAATTCTATATGTGAGACAAGAAAAACAGTTTGCTTATTGTATATTTTGTGGACATAGGAGTGTATTGATACTTACTGAGAGACTGTTGCACATTTAGGAGTCAGTGCCCCACATAACAGCTACGCAGAGCAGGTGCAGCCTGTGCTGTGCACTCAGGCCTGTGTCGTGCTGCGCAGACCTCTTGGCTGCAGGATAAGCTTAGGTCATTTTAACAGAAGAGGCTGCAGGCAGCTCCCACCTGGTTATCACACCACCTTGCCTTCATCAAAACATGCCCTAAGAAGTTCTTATGAGAACACTTATAGAAATGGAGCTGTTTTATTATAAGAAAATTATGTAATAGCTCGAACAACCAAAAGGGAGAGCTCCTCCTCACGGACAGGACCTGTGCTGCTCTGCACAGCAGTGTGCTGTGGGCAAAGCCATTCAGGCTCTGCCCGATGCTGCACGACTGTGGGGTGTCCAGCATCTGATGGGATGTAAGATTTACTTGCCATCTATATTCTGCTTCTTATCCTGTCTTATGAAAGCAGTTATATTATTCCATTTGTTGTTGGGTCTTTCTATACTGAAATCCAGAAAGAGCCAGGTATCTGCTCTCTCTCTGCCCCCTCTCCTTCCTTGCCCCACTGTGGAAACAAGGAGTCAGAAATGAAACAATGAGATTGGTGGTCCATGTACAAACAAACTATACAAGATCTGTTAAAATTTGCAGGTAGCTGCAATAAACTCACTCACAAAATAATGTTTAAAATTATACTTTGATATTCAAAAGTAAAGTTCCCTTGAACATGACAGCAATAATCTGAACTGAACTGAACTGATTTACTCATCCAACACCTTTAGAGAAGTCATCTTAGAATAGTTTCATTTATTTCTTCCTAATGGTTTTCAGGAAACAAATCAACATAAAATCTGGATGGGAATAAACAATATACAATGTATGCTGAAGTTATTTTATACATGTAAAGTATAATTTGTTTAAACTGTAAAGAACAAAACATAATTTTTGAAGAAATTATACAGAAGTTTCCAGCTATCTCCTCATCAACAAACAGGTGGTTTACAAACTACCTACCTAATCAGTAGTAACACTTACATCAAAAACTCTTCATTTTAAAAGGATGTATTTCATATGAAAAAAAGTAAGCTAATACTGTTATTAGCCTTACAAATTTTAAGGCACTGGTAATTCTCAAAAAAACTTAAAATACACTTCTTGAAAATCTGTTATGGTGGCCAGTTTTTAGATTACATAGTTGGTACAGCAAATGGTACAGCTGGCAATAACACTGATGAACCTGGAGACAGGCAACAGGTTTACTATCATAAAAAAAAATAAATCAGACTGAATAAAATACGTTTCCTATATGCTGAAAATTACTGCTTAAGCCAAGCAGCACAGAAACTATTTATTATACTATTTTGTTTAGCATTGCATGTCAGTACTTTGGAAATTCATAAAAGTGTCTTCCTTTTTATTAAATTGAGTTCACTTAATCTATAGCTCAAATAAAAATCATCTTTCTGGAGCATCAGCTGTGAATGAATTATCAGAGAATTCAATACAAATTGGCTGGTGTTTTTTTGTTTTGTTTTTTAAACATCAGCCAGCATCATACTAAATCTTTAAAGAATCTTCAGGCAATAATGGGGAATCACTGATACTGGCTGGGTTTGGATTACATTTTCCCTTGGCCATATCACTCCTGATTAATAGTTGTCTGAGCTCCCTGTGAAGTAGCTCCTCAACTACTGCAACTTAAAGATAAATAGTTGACACTGTAAGGTAAAATAGCACTAATTCTAGTTTGCCTTCACAGAATCACAGGATGTTAGGGGTTGGAAGGGACTTCCAGAGATCATGTAGTCCAACCCCCTGCTAAAGCAGGTTCACTTAAAGCAGGTTGCAGAGGAACACGTCCAGGCTGGTTTTGAAAGTCTCCAGAGAAGGAGATTCCACAAACTCTCCAGGCAGTTCCAGGGGTCTGTCACATGCAAGAGTGTCACCTGCCATAGGGAGGACATGTAAAGCATCAACTTAGTCATAAATGAAGTCAGGACAAGCAGCTTCTATAACCTCAGTCTTTATTTTTCTGTTATAGTTCAGTGACAACAAAATTCTTAATAAATAATACAGACTAGTTATGAAGAGTTTACACTGGTAGGTTACAGCTAAAGTGAAATTGGTTTCATTCAGGATCATGGAGTCATACAAATAACAAATACACCTTACAACAGAGAACCTATTAAAGGAGGAAACTTTTTGCACAACTGCAAAGCAAATTAAGAGCTTCAGAAAAATTTTCCTAATTTGTAGAGTCCTGCAAATCTTTTATGAAAACAAGAGATGGCAGTAAAAATTCAAATAGTCTTCTACCAGCTATATTTTATAGCAATAACCTTATACTTTTTACATGTTGAAAACAGTCATGATTTCCTTGTATAAATGGAACTCTCTACAGATACAACCACAACTGGACTGTCAACATTAAATTCAATTTTTGCATTCTAAAAAGATTCTTCAAATGCATTTGTATCTGCATATGCTGTGTTTCAGCTATAGTGTCACAAAATTAAAGCACTATTAGCTTTGTGTAAGCAGAAGTTACAACTGTACACTAAGGCATATTGTTTATGAAGCATGATGGTATATAAAATGTTATCTTTTATGGGCTACGTGTAATATCACTACAACAAAACATCATGAGAACGTTTTTTTTTCCTGTGAATATAAAAATTCAATGGGATTTAAAAATGAAACTTAGTTGATGTATAAATATCTGCACCTATTAAAAACATAATACATACTTATGTATATATATGTACATGTATACATATCTCTACACATACATAAATAATTATATGACTCTATATACATTTAAATATAGAGATATATAAACTACATTCATAAATATGTCTGGAATTTATTTCCAGAAAAGTAGTGATTTTTTGTGAAAGCCTCCTCCCTTCTCATCTGGCAGACTAATGAAATGATGAAGCAGCATTAAGATGAAAATTTAAGTCTACGTAATATATGAAGGATGGCTACACAAAAAATCTTGGCTTCAGGAGCAGAGATTCCAAATCTAATCATGCAATGATTACCTGCGATGGCCGTTTTCAAAATTGTTATTATTCACTTTGCCTTAAACATGAAAATACAATTTTAATGTCTTGCTTTTCCAGTACTACCAACAAGTGTGTTGTGGGCTTTTCATAAGTTCTGTTACCTGAATGTCATCATTCTGAGCTTATTCCTTCTGTTGAAATGACAATGTAAAGTCATTAACACAGAGTTTGCTAGGCAGAAGTGTGTATCTACAACACAAATCTCTTTCTTTTGCAGGAATATGGCTAACAATACTGTTCCAAAACAACCTACCCACCTCACCAGGCTAACTAATCTGTTGCTTACTCTTCTAAAATGACACATTTCTTAAATGCTCCTCTTGACCATCTCATATACTTGGGAGAATACCAGCACAGACTGCTATAATTTACCCAAGCATACAAAAACCTGCATTTGCCTTTGTATGATGCCTAAAGTCTTGATGATCCACTATTAAGTTCAACAGGATGAGGCTCTGGGCAGCCTGATCTAGTGGGAGGTGTCCCTGCTCATGGCAGAGGGGTTGGAACTGGGGGATCCTTGTGGTCCCTTCCAACCCTGACAGATTCTGATCTGTTTTAGCAGAGGAATTTAGAGCCCTAATGGCTCAATGGTTGGACTTGATGATCTTGGAGGTCCCTTCCAACTTAAAGGATTCTATGATTCTATGAGGATATTATTACAATTTAAAGTACAAAAAACCTAAGTTCTGTTCAATATTGCCATTATACATGCTTTCAAACAAACTTGAGGAAGATAGATTCTGTATCTTGTTTACTAAGAAGAAAATATTAAGAGGCTCATGCTCATAAAATTATCAGAAAAATTAAACATATATCAGGTAATAAACACCTGATATGTTATAAAATATGTGATTACAATTTACTTACCTGTAACTACTACTTCCTTTGTCATTTACAAAAATTAACCAAGTACCCAAAATATAGTTAGACATGCAACTGCTCTCTCCTTGCAACTACCCTCCCTTCAATTTGTCCTTTCTTTTTAGCTCAGAATGCCAGAAAAAAAAAAAAAAAAGCACCACAACATTTTAATTGCTAAATGACTATCTTAAAAAATAAACAGAAAAAGATTAGTTACATATTTTTATACAATGCTAAGTATGAGTGATGAAGGTATAGTTTTGGTGTACAGTATTTTTTTTTGAAAAAATGATGTACTGGAAGCAATAATGACCATGTTCTGTAAAATTTGAAAGCACTTCAGATTAGTTACTCCTCAGAGTATTTGAGTATTTCAAGATTCTAAAATTCATGATTATTTGTAAACATTCAGAACATAATTTTAAAAAGTGACATGATTTCAAGGGCTCATGAATCCCTAAATAACTTGCAATTCAATTAATCAAATCAAATTTAGTTCAACTGAATAAATACAATTTAATAAAATGAATAAATGGAATGAATTAAAATGAAATGTTGTAAATAACTTAATAAACAAAATAATTTAATAAACTTGAATAACTTAATAGCATTATCTAAATCTGCACCTGTAAGAATGGGCACAAAAAATTATCCAAATTACTCTACAATTTAAAATTTTTCTCTGCATAGCACAAGAAACAGATAATTAATCAAATTAAATTTCTAAATATTACCATGAAAGACATCAGTGAATACATATTTTATATTTTAATGCGACTTGGAAGATTTTTAAAAGAATAAAATGTGTTTAATATGTTAATAATATAATCAGCTATTTTGATATAAAATTATATTGATTTTTTGTTAATGCTCCATTGGCAGTTTTCATTATGGTTCCTGCTCTTGTGCCAGCAGTGATTTAATTGCTATTTACATGTTTCAGTCACCATCATGTTGAGCCAGTAAGTTTATGGGTTTTAGCATTATTGCAGGGTATTTGCAAATCCAGGCAGTCACAAACTCATTTACACATATTTACTCTTTGCTGAGTTATTTTAAGACTAACACAGACTATCAACTGTTTTTTCAGAAGAAACTTACAAAACAGAATTTGGATTTTGTATGGCTCAATGGTTGGACTTGATGATCTTGAAGGTCCCTTCCAACCTAAAGGATTCTATGATTCTAAAACATCTCTAACTTCATCAGGTTTATGTGCTCCTAACCTACAAACCTTTATTTACTACCCTTCTCCAAGGATTAGTGGGTGCTACTGTCTTATCGACGAAAACAACTAAAAAGATCATCCATTCTGAAGTAAAAATATGATCCTTTGGAGTTCCTTGTGTCCTTTTCTATTTGTTGCTTACCTTATTTCATAATTGCTTATTCTAGAAACATAATTATCCTTTACGAAAGCTCCAAGCAGAAGCAGGAAGTTTTTCTCCCTACTGTTGCAAGTAAATACTGCCTGTTACATACATATGTCTTTGTCACACACACGTGCATAACTTATAAGGAGACGGGCTGTCACAAGAAAAACTAGCATAGCTTCTCTTTTGTTTTCAGAGGCTGCAGTAGATCTCTTCTGCTTAATACACATCTTTAATACTTTCACCTTTGGTTACTCCCATGTAGTCCCCAGCCTCTATGCGTACAAAGTAAAGAGAAAATTTAGACAGTGTTGAAAGAATTGAGAAAACAAAGTGTTTTGCATTCATTAACACTGAGATCAGTAGCACTGTTTCAAAAAAGTCCTGAAACAATGCAATGGGGCATATGAGAATGATCTCTGTCACTGGTTTGGATGATTGTCTGGACTTTTATTACTTACGGCAAATCTTCCAATCTGGAGGCCTCATGTCTTGGGTCCAGCAGATCATAACCACACTCATTGTATATTTCTAAGTAGGACACATGAGTTGTATACACTTTACTGCTATCCTGGATAAGAAGAGGGAAAGAAAAAAAAAAAAAGTCAGAAAAAGGAAGAGCTATAAAGAGAACTCAGAGCTAGATCAGAGGACAAATTTATCACTACAGCTTTTATGTTGCTTCCTTACTGTGCCTCCTTTTCTTCTCCCAAATATGGTTTATGTTTTCAATTCATGACACTTTTATGTTTTCTGAGTTTATAGGCTCAAGAGGGAAAAAAAAATTAAAAACTCCAACCAAAACACACATACACAAAAAAAAAAAAAATCAAAAATCCTCCCCGAACTCCACCAGGCCCATTATTTTAGTCTATTTTTTTTTAAATTGTTTCCTTGTATCTAGAGAAATCTGTATACACTTAAAAGATGGCAGCCTGCTTACAAAACCATGCAACATTCCATTTTTTACTTCTATGACAACAAAATGTTACTATAAAGAGATAAATCCTCATATTATGGATAGAAAGATTATGCTTAACCAACAGAAGTAAATAAAAAGATTTACTTCATTGAGAAACATTAGTGGCATACTGCTTTGCACTCTCTTTATCATAATATCTAAGCACTGTATGGGATTTTGGCTATTCTCTGTAATCTTTTTTTTTGTATAATTGCCAAAATGTAACTTAACACAACTGCATTTGCAGACAGAATTTTCTCCTGCCCCAAAGCCAAATACAAGCACCATAAACCTCAAAATAATGGGCCGTGATTTCCAAAATAAAAGAAAATTAGTCACTTCAGTAGATGAAGGCACTGTGAAAGCATGCATGCCATACTCACAGTAGCAGCTTAATAATCCAATCCACTAGAGCTGTTTTGCAAAATACTTTGACATACAAACTTTTCCCTTTCATTGAATAGTTGTTTGCCATTTTTTTATTGATAGGGGCAGTTCATATTTCAAGGAATGACATTTAAAAGGATAGATTACAGATTAATAGAAAAATAGTAGTTAAAAACTGTTCAAGCAGGAACTGTGGAAATAGGAGAATTTCTGACCAATAAATTAAAAGGAGATGCTATTGGCTTGATTTGTTTCTCATCTGGGGTAAAAAGTTTTGTTTCATTGGTTTCAAAATGCCCTGTGCCAGTGCAAGCAATAGCTTCAAAAGTCTTGTATTTTGTGTCCCTGAATTCAGTTTCTCCTGTTCAATCCTACTTAGAGTTAGGAGGTAGATGACTCCTCTCCACTATGTCAGCACTTTCCAAAGCACAGTTGCAGATAAAAATAAATAAATTAAACAAGGGAAAGGAAAAGAAAGGCAGTTGGAAAGGTAAAACACCAGGAGGACATGATTTAAGATGCACCAAGAAAGAAAATGTACAAAACAAACACAAAGATTGGGAAGCAGGCAGGCAGAAATATGTTTATAAGCACCATGAAGTAGAACTTTCAATCCAAAACTCAGTCTGAACGTGGAAACAAACATTTTTTTTTTTTAATGTAGAAATTACGTGCTGAGAAGGTGGGAAAAAATGTTTAATTTTTTTATCCTATTTTGTTCTTATTACATAATTAGAACTAGAAAAGAATGTTGGTGTGTTGACACCACATGTTGCTGGCAATTTTAAGATCAGCCTGTTCATTTTCATGGCCGAAGTCCTCAATGGGGTTGTGTGAGCACAGAAGGTCTAAGGCAACATGATTGCATGTTTGGTGGGTTTTTTTTTCATTTCCACTCCCACAAGAGCAAGCTTTTGTGCACCTGCAATCTGCTGTATACATTTACCTGCTAAAGCCATACTTTGAGTTAAATATAATAATTTGAGTTAAAAGGAAAATATGTAGAGAAAGAAAATGAATATGGGTGTCCATGTTATTTCAAATACTTAAAAGGTTTGCATTACTGACTTTAAAAATTGCTTTTAATAATAATTACGTGTATTTAGTGTTATCATTCTATAATATATTCTAGCTAATAAGTAACAGGTAAAATAGAAGCATTAAGTAAAATAAATAGCTGAATATTTAAAAATACTTAATAATTTTACTTTTGTATGGGTTGATGGGTTGTTTTGAGCATTGGTCAGGCACAGAGAAATTAGGTAAGTTACAAAGAGTAAAGTAATGCTCCATCTTTTACACAACATTGTTGGCTTACACAACAATCAGAGCAGTTTTTCTATGAGACTTGTGTGATGCAATGCATACAATACAAAACCAGACTGAAGCTACTATGTTAAGACAAGGAGAACCAATTATGTGATTGGAACGTACATTGCATCAACTAAAACCAGCATGGTTTTAAAAACAAGAAAAACTCCTCCAATGATGCTCATTATTCTCAGTCTACTGCCACAAACCAGGTCACCAAAACTATTATAAACATGTACTTCCATAAGGTATCATGCCAAGTTAGATATTTTCCTCAGCATTAATTTTAAGGGCTTCTTCTGACACTATTACAAAAAACCAGCCTTTTGCAATAAAGTATTTGCAAACCAGATATTAAAAATAAACAGAAAACAATGTCCCTTACCTTCTGCAACTGATCAAAAATATAAGACAGAGTCCTGGGAATGATGCCTCGATCACTGTAACGTTCTGCTCCTCCTGTGATGGTAAAAGTTTTGCCACTGCCTGTCTGGCCGTATGCAAAGATAGTACCATTATATCCAGCCAAAACACTACAAATAAAAAATAAACCAAAGGGGGATAGTTATATTATATAAGGCATAACATATTTTCCATGATCAGTTTTGTATAGAACCAAAACATAAATAACAGTTGTTCTTAATTACATAGCAGTTGTCTTCAGTAATACAAGAAGTTTCAATGGAATTTAAACTATCTAGAACTGAAGGCCTTGATGCCCTGACTTACCCCACTATTCAATATTATCATTAGTCAGTCATATTTCTTACTCTTTACATTAACTTTGTATGCTTTTTTCCTTTGGTTGATTATTTTTTTCAAGGATGATATTTAGTTTCTTAAAAGACTGTATCTATAGTCACAATTCCTGTCATCTACATTACAGTTAAAGAATCTAGAAATATTTCACATGTGACTTCAGTAATTGCAAAAAGAGAAGACAATATGATGGTTAGAAACTAATGTTAGGATACAGTTATACCAGGGTCTTTTCTTAGTCTGAGGATACTACTATACTAATAGTACTAGTAATACTACTATAAACTATTAGACTACTCCTAGCTTGGATAAGGGTATGCAGGAGAATCTGTGCTTTTATTAGTGTAGTAAAATCTTCATTACTATGAAAACACAAACCCACACTGGTAAAAGAAAACATTTCTGTTAAAAGTGTGTCTATACAAGAAACAGAGTAATATTTCTTCAATTTAGATCCCTTTGATGGCCTGATGTCTGAAATATAAATCTAACATTTTACTTTTCCCTTGTTATTAAAATTAAAATTTCAGGTATCCAGTGTTCAAAATTTCTATTGATACTCACAGCTGACTATCATAGAATCACAGAATCCTTTACGTTGGAAGAGACCTTTAAGATCATCAAGTCCAACCATCAAGCCAACACTACAAAGTCCTCTGCTAAAACAGATCAGAATCTGTCAGGGTTGGAAGGGACCACAAGGGTCACCCAGTTCCAACCCCTCTGCCATGAGCAGGGACACCTTCCACTAGATCAGGCTGCCCAGAGCCTCATCCAGCCTGGCCTTACAGACCCCCAGGGATGGGGCCTCAACCACCTCCCTGGGCAACCCATTCCAGGGTCTCACCACTCTCATGGTGAAGAACTTCTTCCTCACGGCCAGTCTGAACCTATCCACTATCATACGTTTCCCTTGTGCAGCTCTGTCTCAAAAGAAAAATACTAAAAACTTATTTCCACATTTCTAATTCCATTTCTTGTTAATTATTGTGAACTGCCCTGACCCTGAAAAATATTTTAAGTGCTCTGAGATTTTATGCTTCACACTGACTGGCTACAATGACATAAAAATTATGGAGGACAAAATTATCTTGGTTTTTCACTTGTTTGTAAAAGCAAACAAAAACGGAACAAAATTACCAAAATTATCAAAATAATAAATGAAATAGTGATGAATCCAGTTACTGACTGTAAAATTCAGATAGCAAATCAAACCAGAACTCATGAGAGTCTATAGTTGACAGGATATATGATAGAAATGACATTAGACCTTCAAGCTCTTTTCCTCTCCTTTCAGCAGCTATCAGTCACAAAATTTTTCCTAGATTCATCCATCTCATAGTTTTTCTACCACAATTCCAGCATCTCCTGACAAATTATATGAAGGAACTACTTGGAAACGAACAAAGTAATCAAGAAAAAAAATTCTTTTCCTGATAAAATCTACCAGAAGCAAAATCTACTTTGGCTAGATATAACATGCTTAAGGACTTACTAATTTTGCTAACGAAAAGCTAAAATTAATCTTGTATATTTTGTTTATTGGAAAAGTGATAAATAAGCTAAGACTTTAAATAATAAAAAGAGGCCTAACAACCCTTGCATAAGAGGAAAAGAACCACGTATAGATAGCTGCTGGTCTGGCGCCACAAGAGATGCAATGGTTCTCCAACTTATTAAAGTTTATTTAAAGGCCTGAGTAGTTGCCAAATTGCTTATATTAATCCATTCCAGTAGGATATCAAAGCCAAAACCAGAAACATGTTGAAAAGAACTACAGTGTACATCTGCTCACAAAGACTGAATGGCCCAAAGACAGAGTATATATAGATTTTAGATTCCAGATGTTAAAAATCAAAACAATTATTATTAAACACCTCATTCATCTGTCTTAGGAATTTCTAGTACCCACTGTCACAGAATCTGAATGCTGAAGACAGTAATGAGTTGTCAGAAGGTAGGGGGTATCAAAAGAAGCTCAGAGATGTCAGATTCCAAACAAGCAATGGGAAAGGATGCTTCATGCACAATGCGGTTAAGGTGTGAAACTCCTTGCAATGGGATGTTTTTGGATGCTAAAAGTTCACACAGGCTTCAGCAGAGATTGGAATAATTAATGAAAATAAAAAGATAAATCTCAGGGCTACTGAACACAGAAAGGTCAGAAAGTCCCTAAACTATAAATGATTAGAGGCTAACAGAATACTTGGGGGAAGTATCTCTATGTGCTTACACTGTTGGGCACTTTTACCCCTGAGCATTGACTGTCAGTCCCTGTGAGAGATAACACGCTGGCCTAGACAAAATTTTGGTCTGACCCAATACAATTGCTCTTCTGTGTTTACATCTCTGCCCTTTGGCTCTTCTAGATCTAGCATTTTGGGTTGTTAAGCTTCTTTACTCCTTCTCTTCTTTAAAGTTGTTGAAGGTATATATTTTCAAACACTGTGGCATGGTTCCTGCAGAAAGGTGTGTTTTGCAGTGTGGTTGAAAAGGTGGCAAAAGTGTGGCTGCAAACTATTGACTTGAGGTCCCTGTACTTCACAAAAACCTGTTGATTAGGATCACCACACATGTAAATACAGGATAAAATGTCACATAACATATGCTGTCAAAACAGCTACAGAAGTCAGTGAGTTTTCTTTGTGCTATTTTATTTATATATTTCTTATACATATTGCAGTGCATCAGCATGGCTCTGAACAGTCTTCCAGAAAACACTGAAAGTTGAGAAAATGTGAACATATTAAGTGTCACTAATATAACCTCACAGTCCAGTGTGATTACAGGTAATATTAATATTGCATTGCACAGATTTACTATGGAAGTGCTAGTTAATATTCCACAGTGGAGTTCCACTTAAAAATGAAGATGGATTTTCATCTTGGGTTTTAATGTGTTTATAATTATATATACAACTGCATCCTGTCTGTATTTACAGCACTCATTTCTTTCATTCAGTGCATTAAAACACACAAGGCAATTTAAGAAAATCCTCCTTGAGGTGCTAAGGAAGCCTGTAGTAAAAAGAGCTATCAATAACATCAGTGAAACTGCTGGCAAAGCCTTTGAAGAGTGAAGTGCAAGCCCATGAAGACAGGATGGCCATGAATTCCCTAAGTCTGAGGAGAAAACCATGTGAAATCCAAGCTTGATGTTACTAATTTACACTTCTTTTAAGGAGTTTCACTTGGAACCGATGGAAATACAGGATGTTTTAGCAATGAGACTTGTGGAGAAACTATTATTATAGCAAATAATTGCTAAAAATATACTTTAGTCCTTTTCCATTTCTAAGAGCTTTGTGTCAAAAATAAATACAAAACTTTATCAGTTTAATTTTAGTTCATTGTCCCAAGGATATTTACACTGAAATGGTAACTATGTATGTAGGTGGGCTGACACCTAATTAATCATTAAATGAATTAAACCAGTATCACTTTACTAAATAGGAAGCTTAAGACAGGCACTTAACTATTTTCAACCTAAGATGCACAATACCTTTCAGAAAATAAAAACATAGAATGCATGCTAACCCTTCAGCCATCCATAAAATACTATTTAAAATCCAAGGAGCTACTCTGCAGAATTACAGTTGACAAAGTGAAAAGTGTCATCAGATGCTACAAGATAGTGCACTGAGTAGAAAAAATATATATATCTCCTCCCTTTCATCACAAATTGTAATCACAACAGGTACCCATAAAAGTTGTCAACACCAAATATGAGATTACAAGAAAAGAGTTTATTTTCTAACCAGCATCCACTAAAAGGATCCTTGAACATTCTCGTCTGCAAATTAAAGTTGTCCTCAACAGTAGTGGAACCGATTCTCTGCTGGAAAAGGCAGTAGAGAATCATTGACTCTTTTTTGCCTATTCTGCAAAATCTACTTTGCAAGATGTCAGCTCACCCAGGCAAGGTCTGCATCTTACCTCTTCAGATTCTCTGAATGAAAATCCTAAATCTTTGTTAAACTTGGTATTTGAACATACACAGATCAACATAATTCTTTATTGTAGCCTTGTGAAGACTTTAAAACAGGCATAAATAAAAAACATAGGCTAAAAGGACTTCCAGTCAGCCCCCTTGGTGTCACAACAATATCCAGAACATTGACTTTTTTTTTTTTTTCTATTTTCCTCCTCTAGGAAGCTGAGTCTTTGCACAGTTAAGGAGACACTGTTGAATAAATTGTCTCTTTACTACTTCAAACAAAACACATCAAAGACACATAATCCAAGGAGAGGCTTTGCTGAAAAGATCTTTCATGAACTTATGCAATGCTGTATAGCTCCCTGTTCAGAAGTTCATGGACTACTTCCAGACAGATTAGCTAAAATGTTGCTGGAGAAATCTGTCCTCAGTACAGTTTAGCAAAATTACTCCTGTTATGATTGTCAGAGTTCCTGGAGTTTCTTTTTTTAGTACCAAGCTAAGAACTATAAAGCCTACTATACAGAAAAATCATTTTTTTAAAAGATGATGACTAAAGCTTGTCCAAATTTGTACATATGTTTCAAACTGTTAGGAAATTCAGAGTTCATTTTCCTTACACCCTAAAATATGCAGGCGTATACTTGAAACCCTTTGTGATAGACTTAGTGTTTATAAAAAGAAAAGAAAGTGTGGATTCATAAGCCACATAAAACAATCTTTGCACACTAAAATGATTAGCAATTTTACCTATAAAAATATTTAGTATTAGCTTTAAACCAGATACAAATTATTTGTTAGAAACTGAGTTTTTAATATCTATTTTTCTGTATTTCCA